TAGGGTTGCCCCTGACAAAACAAGCAGCACAAGCCTCTAAAGCTTTCCAAATCAACTAAATTATTTCAAACATTTGCACTTGGGATTAGCTACTTTTGCATAGGATCACTTCAGGGGCCACCAGCTGGCTAGCCAACTAGCAGATATCTTATAATTCATTACTGATTGTTTTATGTATAGCACAAATTTCAACAGAGACAAGTTTTGATTGCTATGTGGTTATTATTACCAACTGGAGGAGAGCTCAGCTGTTTTGTGCCACCAGTCTCTGCCTTTTCTTCTTTGGGAAGGTGAAACAATGGGAGCAAATGGCATCCATAAAGATTTAATGGTATAGTCCAATTGATTTCTTTGTTGGTTATCCTTGGTATCCAAGATGATCAGGTCTGAATTTCATCTTTTTAGTCTTAGTGTCTGAATTTGTCAGTTTGAAACCAGTTTTTCATGTAATGTGAGTATTTAAATCGGAATTAAGAAATATTGAATTTGAGCAATTTGAATAGTTACTTGAATAATTGCACAACTTCTGAAATTTTCAAGGAGGAGAATTCGGATTACAGCAATTCAGAAGGATAGTTTTAAAAGTATTTGCTACTACTACTACTACTTCTACTATAACACTTATGTATTCAGTAGTGATTCAGTTTCACAGTTAGGTATTCCGTTGCTCGGCAATGTTGATCTGAGCTACACATTTTACACAAACTATTCTAGTTCATGAGGCTGTGTAAGATTGCAAAGGCTTAGCAACAGCTTTAGGAACTAAAAAGACAGATGCTAGTTTGGACCGAAATTTAACATGTTCCATGGGACAATGCCCATGAATGTCAGCTGCTTGGTGAAATAAAATGACTAAATAATTACATTTTAAGCAGGCTTAAAGTCATAGAGCTGAAAATGAGACATTTTATATTTTGCAAAACACTTTTTTCCCTCTAAATTTGCCTGAAACTGAGCCTTTCTGAGGTTTCTTAAACTTTTGTGTCACCTTGAGATCCTGCACTATTAAACAGCCCCACCGTCAACAATCAATACATTTGGCTGGCCCTCAATCCCTCTTTTGTCTCTGCAAATGAAGCTGATGGATGAAAAAGAGCCCCAGTGCCCTCTCCCAGGTAATGTGCTGTGAACGGCCATGTCAATATCTTCAGGGTTAACAGGATAGAAGGATGGTGGAATGGGGGGGGGGGGCGATGCATTTAGAGCGGGACACAGGAGCAGGGTCAACTCTCAGGACAACTTAATATTTAATCAACCTACCTCACCGGTAACCCTAAACTCCACAATCCCCTATGGTCACACAAGGACACAATTGAGATAGGGGGGTGGGAGCAGAGAAAGATGGAGGGAGGGCGAGACGACACTTTATCTTTCAAATGGTCTTGTGCTTTGACTGAGTGCAAATTAAGTGAGAGAGAGAGAGAGATGGAAAAGAGAGGAAGAAAAGATGAGACGGGACATTTGCGGGGTGACAAAGACAGTGCGATGGCTGTGTGCAGTAGACAGAGGCAGACAGATGAAAGAAAAATGGAAGGTGGCGAATAACGGCATTAAAGTGTTCTTCATCATACAGATTGGAGCGCAGTCGGCGGGCTGTTTCAGGCAAGGTTAAAGAAAGTGATAAGCACATCATGATGTTGAGTGATGACATGATGAACGAAGGTGGGACAGGGAGCAGAGACATTACAGTGTCGGGTCAAAAACACATTCATGAAGGTGCTCACTAGTGATGCACGGCATTGTTAAGTTCTGGTTCAACAGCTTCAGTCATTGCCATCCTATTATAAAACATATTGCTTCAGTCCTCGGTTTTGATTGAGTCGAGTTTGAAGGTTTTATACACAAAAAACACACAAACGTGAAAATAGAAGCCACACATGTATGGAGGACCACAAGTGTCATAGTAATAAAGCATTAAATTCATTGATATTTAATCAAATTACAAGCTAATTAATTAATTAATCCATTAATAAATAGGTGAAATTTAAAAACTATGCCACTATCAACAAATACATCATTTAAAAATACATAAATGAATACCTGAATAAATAATAGAAATTCAAAATCAATTTAAATTCAGTTTAAAAGATAAATAATTAGCATTTACGTGACAGTTTGGGCCTTAAGTTCAGGATCAGCACACATCGTCAGTTAGACTGTGAAAACCATGATCCTCAAACACGAAGGGGGATTCAGGTGAAAATAGTTTGGACTTTCTTACCAACGCAAGTCCCAAAGTATCTTGTTAAAGCTAAATGAGAAAGGGAAAGCAGTGGAAATATGGAAAAGAGAGTTGCCCTGTACTGTTTTTTTATTTATGGATTAATATTTTCATTTGTAAGTTAATTTCTTGTCCATACACATCTGTCCCTTACAGCCTGCTTTTTTTATTATACCCCATTATTTATTTCTACTCACCCTTACCTGTGTTTGGGCTAAAAGTGTAATGTTTGTTGACCGTGGGGTCATTAGAAACAAATCAATTTATCCGTTTGGGTCCATTAAGGATCTCACCAAATGTCATGGCAACCAGCCCATTAGAAAATGAAACATCTTGTGTGCAGTCCTCTGGGAATCACCTATCAATGTGCATGGTAAATGTCATGCCAGTCTGCCTATTAGATTTAGATATTTCCTGTTTGGACCTGATGATGGCACAAGTAGAAAGGTCAGGGGGTCACCACAATCATAAGTATCAAGTATTCTGCCTCTGGGGACCGAAAATAACCATATGAAATTTCATCTCCATCTGTCTAGTATTTCCAAATGTCATTGTCCTTAAAACCACTTCACATCATGCCCAAAAACAAATAAATAATCTGGAATCTAAATGGGTAAAATTTTGACACACATGAATCTTTCACACCGTGGCTATGAGCACACTGTCCTCCTCCTTTGCTCTGAAAGTGGGAGGAGGATCTCTGTAGCCTTCATATATGTCTGTTTTTACTCCCCTGCTGTCTTAATGCTATAAATGCTTCTTATACAGCTTTTAGATCACCATGGGGAGGTTTACACTGAGTGACATCTGTTGAAGGGGGACAGAATTTTTAACAGGTGAAATCAGCTTTATAACAGAAAAAAAACATCAGACACAAATTCTTATTCAGAGCAGAGTATTTTTAAATTTCTTCAAACATTACTGGAGGGGATCTTTAAACAGTAAACATCAAAACTTCAAAGGATCATACTAACTAGCGAATATCTGATTTTTCTTCAAAGGCCTATATTTAAAAACCAATGTCTCGCCTTCTCATTTTCACCAAAATCACTGTTAAATCCCAGCCTCTTAATTTAATTTTCATACTTCATATTACAACATGGCTGTAGTAGGCTATATTTTAAAGAGGGATGTTATAGAAAACAAAAATTGTCTCTTCTTTTTGCCATCAGAGATATTATTTAAGAGCTTGGGTATGAACCTCAAAGCTTGACCAAGTTGTTTAACAAGATGTTGTTGTGATGAACAACAAAGGCATTGCACTGCACTTCTACCTTAAAAGACAAAGCACTTTACAATTTGCTTCTCATTCAGCCATTCTCACACACACGTACACACACACCGACAGCCATTCTACTACACAACGACGCTTGCCATAATGACTTCAGTCTCGGCCAACTCGGTGGTTTCTGAGGCCACAGTATGAAGATCTGGAAACAACTTTTGGAAAATTATTTTGTAGATCATCTTGATGTAAGGATGCATGCAGCACAACAGCAAATACAGTATGAAGTAGCATCAGCGCACAAAGGCTCATCCGACATTGGTTTTACTGTAGTTACTGTTGAGAGCCCAGTGGAGGGTGAGCGATGAGCATCCAGCCAGCCGTGGCCACTGCTTGGCGCTCTCCTCCACTGCAGCTGTTGACTGCTGCCTATAAGCCCGCCTGTGGGCTAGGGGTGGCTTTCCCACTGAAGCAGCCAGGCGCCATGAAGCCTTAGGGTGTTGGAGGGTAGAGGAAAAGCAAATCCCTGGCAGAGAGAAGTGTGTGTGTCGGGGGGGGGGGGGCGATGAATGGCAGCAGGTATGCAAGCAGATGGGCCGCCAGGAGCCCAGGTGGGTCCCCGTGGAGATGCAGGCGGCCGAGTTCAGCACAGAGCCACCCAGCCCAGCGTCAGCACTTTGGGGAGAAGCTGGGAAAGTGCTGAGGCGGCTGCCACTTGGGGAGATGAGGTGAAGTGGTGAAAATTTAACCAGCCTGATGAAAGTTTAAGTGTGCATGTTAAACAGGAGAGATGGGTGAGGTGAAAGTATGAAAGGATGGCAGGAGGTGACTGAAGAAAATGGACAGGTTTGTGAGACCTCCTCATTGTTTCCTCCTGAATGGCTCAAACAACAGCTGTCGGCTTCTCAAACTTCAGTCAGACACTTAAGGGCATAGCGCAGCTTTTTTTTTTACCCTAGCTTGACATGAAAAGCAACATCATATCGCTCTCCCAGTTTTTGCTTCATAAAAATGAGCTGCAAGGACGCTGTTTTGTTTCAAGGACGCGGGCTACATCCCTCTGCACTGCGGCCTGGCTGATATACATGCCAGAGCCTCGTAGCACTTCTGTTGACTGCCGTTCACATGATTCTACACAAAGCAGCCAGTTAGCTCTGTGTTCTGTGGAGAAGTGTGCTGAGAGAAAGGGCGGGAGAGAGCAAGCAGAGTGATTACATAAGGTTGGGTAACAGGCTTACTGTGGGGATACACACTCACTAGACAGTGTTGATGGAGTCTTTCACAGGCCTGATGGGGTGTTGATTAGGATGTGCTCACACACAAGGAGCAGATGCTGAAATGGATTCTAATGTGCTTTTCTTTCTTTGTTTCTTGCTCCTTCTGCTTTATACTCATTACCTCTTTCATCCCTGCACTCACTGCTGCCATTTCCCTTCTTTCTTTGCTGCCCCTTTTGGCTGTTCTCCTCTCTGTCTGAACACCAAATCACATCCTATTCTCCCTTCGCCTCCCTCCCCCTTATTTTCTTTGCCACTGTCCTCCGCTGATTCCCAGGTGCGGTGCGAGCCTCCAGCATCTTCCCCATCCTTAGTGTCATCCTGCTCTTCATGGGAGGCCTGTGTATAGCTGCCAGTGAGTTCTACAAGTCACGCCACAACATCATCCTCAGCGCAGGAATCTTCTTTGTGTCTGCAGGTGAGTCAAACACCCACAACATAAGACAGGAGGGCAAGGATTATTCATGGGGGGCATCAGTTCAGTGTGTCTTTGAATTAGACCAGTTTTTATTGAATGAGGATTTACCACAGTCACTGGCTGCTTCCTGTAGTAGCTTCACAGTAAGTCATAAAAACTTTGGTTCACATTATACAAATTGAGAAATGACATACGTGATTTCAGGCCACCATCTATGTTTGGATTAGGAAAAATAGGTGCAATAATGTAATTCTTGGAAACAAAAAAAATTCAAAATTATTGTTTATAATTATTGTTCCAAATCAAATCAGGGGTGGTTGAAAAGTTTAATTATGTGATTAAATCATAAATGAAAAAATTTGGTGGATTTTTGTATTACACATATGAGGGAAGTAGAAGAATTCTGCGGCCAATATACTATTTGGTGTTAAGTTGAATTACTAAACAATTTTTTTTTCATTTATGATTTGCTTACGGATTGCTAGATTTTAACCATTAATAAAGTAATGAAATAACAAACTTTCCAACCACAATTCTTCTACTTCCCTCATATGTGTAATACACTTTCACATCTAAGATCTCTGCTGGAGAGTTAGACGAGAAGATTGATAGTGTCTTCCCGTTCAATATAACAAATTCTGCCTACTAGATTTTGTTACGTTTAGACAGAGCCATGTTAGCTGTTTCCCCTTGTTCCCAATCTTTGTGTTAAGCTAAGCTAACCAGCTGCTGGCTGTAGCTTTATATTAACTGTACAGACATGAGAGTTGCATCAATCATCTCATCTAACTCTCTGCCAGAAAGTAAAAGGGCGTATTTCCAAAAATGCCCATCCCTTTAAGAGGTGGTCGTTACTTACTTCTTTTGTAATTAACAGTATACCACACCATAAATTCAAAAGTTCACATATGCACTGGTCTGTCTTGAGCTGTTGGGTCGTCTCTTATACAGCTACAAGTCACTTCTTCTATTCTTCCTTCTTTTGTCCTCTTTTCTTTTCTCTTTATCCTGTTGCTGGGCTAAAAGCCACCCATTGGGACTCATCTCTAAAAATATGGTGTCCCTGACACACTTTCTCTACAATCCATCTTCCCAGATATACCATGTCAAACATTTCTCTACTAACAAGTATAAATATTTATATGTGGATATATTATTGGCTTCAACGTGGATTAGGTTATACTATGTCCCAAATGATGTGCATCAAGACCTGAAGCTGCCTTGTTTCTCGCTGCAAGGGCAAAGATGAGAGTCTAAGATCAGTCATGTTGGATGGAGAGGTGGACAAGATTAGTACAGTATGCACAGTACATGAATCAGCGCTCTAAACATGATGAGCTCATCCTGACTGATACTTTGTGTCTTGTTGTCTTCTTTTCTTTGTCCTTTTCCCCATGACCCACCCCTCTCTGTGTGGCGCCGACGCTGCACCTCCAAACCCGTCAGGCCTGAGCAACATCATTGGCATCATCGTCTACATATCAGCCAACTCGGGGGACCCTTCAAAAAGCGACTCGAAGAAGAACAGCTACTCTTACGGGTGGTCCTTCTACTTCGGTGCCCTCTCTTTCATTATGGCTGAGATGGTGGGCGTCTTGGCTGTGCACATGTTCATCGACCGCCATCGACAGCTCCGAATAGGGGCACGCGCAGCCGACTACCTCCAAGGCTCGGCCATAACACGAATCCCCAGCTATCGCTACCGCTACAGACGTCGCTCGCGCTCCTCCTCCCGCTCCACAGACCCGTCACACTCCCGCGACACCTCGCCGGTGGGCCTCAAGGGCTTCAGCGCGCTGCCATCCACGGAGATCTCCATGTACACGCTGCCCCGGGACACCCTCAAGTCCTCCGGCACGCCCACCGCCACCTACAACTCTGAGAGGGACCACAACTTCCTGCAAGTCCACAACTGCATCCAGAAGGACCTGAAAGACTCGAGCCACACCAACACAGCGAACCGCCGCACCACGCCGGTATGAGGGAGTGGACACAGGCCAGGCCAGCCAGGCAGAGACCAGGAGACACGGGAACCCCTGTGGGTGCAGTACACCCCAGGAGAATATGGATTTCCATGTTTATAGACATTTGTTCTTTTTGTTCAGCTGCATGATTTTTCCATTACCATTGTTGAGAGAGTTTCAACAAGTCTGCTGTGTTCCTGGATTGAATGGCAGAGCAGTGAGAATGGGTCAGGTTGTCCCAAGAGAGCGAGATATGTCATTTTTTGTTTGTTTATGAGGTTTGGGGCAATGCAAGAGAGGGTGGGAGGGGGTGGGCATTTAAGAGAAACAGGATTGATTTCATGATTTCATAGTCCTTTGGTTGACAGTTTTGCCCCACAAGTTTGGTCGGGGCAGCGGGTGAAGCTCGCCCCCCAGCCAGCCCACCTCTCAGATATACACCTCTTTTATTTATTGACCCATTTGTTCATTTTTTGCATTAAAACTGTGAATTGTTACAGTTTGGGATTCAGTAAGAATTAGCCCAATCTGTAATCTCTAACGAAGGTACTATATATATATGTATTACTTTTATAAATAAATTATTACGTTAATAATCAAGAGTTACACAAGTTACCGAAGCAAAAAAGAAAAAAAACAAGTTAACTAAACCAAGTGCTGTTGTTAAGATGAGAAAAGACTCTTTTAATATCTGAACATTTGAAGGTTGAGAACAAGAGATGGTCCTTTAGGTAACAGCAGTACACAGCGACTGGTGCCACCAGAGGCAGATGCAGACCGTCAACAGTAGAATAATATCTATTCTTTTAATAGAACCTTCTCGTCTTTTTCTCAGTCCCTGTTCGCTTTCTTTTTTGGGGGGGTCGTAAGAGGAGAGTTGAACCCCTTTAACAGAAGGAGTCAGCAAAAGGGGTCAAAGTTCACAAAGCAAAGACTCCAAACACGACTTCTACAAGATAAAAAGGAAGGAGCAGAGGGGAAGGAAAAGAAGAGGACGCCAAACACCAAAATAAAAACAAGTTAAATATGAAATAGTACAAGAGAAGCTAAGTGACTCACAATTTCAGAAATTAAATGCATGCTATAAAATTACAGCAAATTTGCTCTTGAGAAACTTAAGTTTTAAAGGTTAATAATTATAAGGGGAAAAAAAGAAAAGACGCTAAAATTTAAAGTAGTAATGTTTTCATGTGTATTTTTCTTATGTTTTCTTTTTTATTTATTTAGTTCATTTTATCTTATTGCTTTTGTGAGACAAACCAAACAATCTACATTGAACAAAACTGCTTTTTTAAATGGTTTGGTTGATTTCTTTATAAATATATAAATATATGTATGTATGTATTTTATTTTTAAAACTCACACAGCCTTAGTCATTTCTTTGTTTCTTTTGATTTTTAATGTGTTGTTCAAACTGAAAATGAAATCTTTAAAGGTGCCAAAACCGAATGATCCTATACTTGGATGCATCAAGTTCTGATGAATAAAATACGAACCCTAGGGGGAACAAATCGCCATGTTTCATTGCGTGTCTCTAACACACTTTACCCTATAACACCTTCCTGTTTGTCAGTACTAACACTTCTCTGTCTGTCACATCACCATATTTCCAATGTTGTTTCCTTTTTCACAAATAGCAAAAAAACAAACAAAATTGGGCTTGAAACTATAGCATTTGTCTCCATGGTAAGCTGTAGAATAGAGCAATAGTAGCCAACCTTTTTGACTTCTGGACACTTTAAATGAAAGAATATGGTTATGAATGAATGAAGTTATGACCTCAGTGTGGACACAAAAAGTTTTTAGTCTCAGATTGTTTCATCTGAAGGATTTTAAAAGACCCAAAAGCTATACCAGAAACCATGTGTTTTACAAGAAAAGAGCTAAATATCAGAGTTAATTGACAGAATTTTAGGAAACTAATCAACTCAGTGTCCATTTACTTGTCTCTCCACTATCTGTTTTGTCTTTCAACTGTTTTACCTGTTTCCACTTGACCAAAGTTTCACACTTAGATCACTTGATGACCACTCCACTACAACAATTTCCCTTTGATGATGAAGACCATGAGATGTGGTTAACTGCGCTGGAAAAAGCGAGTAAGTGGACGTTGATATGAACAGTGTCATGTCAAACTACTGTTCAGTGTGCTGTCTGGAAGGAACTTTGACCCTGAAAACATAATTGTGTTTAATAAAATATATCATTCTTATCATCTTACCCCTCAGATTTATCTTGGGACCCCTTGGTGGGTCTTTTTCAGACACTAGAAATGAGTGTGTCTGATTTCGGAAACTTTCCAAATCCAGTAATCCAACATTGACACCCACTTCACACATAGTAACTAGGCGTGTGGAGATGTTAAAGTAAGCAGGGGTTTGAACTTAACTGTCAAGCTCTTTTTTCATTCTTTACACAACTATTTAATGTGTGTGAATGAGCACTGTGAATGATGTGTGCTGTGATCCCCATATTTTATTGATTCAGTGTCACCTCTCTATATCATTGTTGGCTTTTCACCTGGCCTTCGAGTCCAGCTTGTAAAGCTATAAACAGCTTTGCCTCCTAAAGTGATCAGTCAACATGTCTTTTTGAGTGTGACATATGCATGAAACTAACTAGTTCATACAAAGTGTCTCTGGTTGTAAAAAGGTGTGTATAGGCTACACTTGATGGTGAGGCAAAAAGCCAGCCACACAAGTGGGGATGACAGACTTTCTTTCGTTTTTCATTCATGGCGTAGCACTCCAGGTGTACACATGAAAAGTGACAGATGTAGCTGCGTGAAGAATGAAAAAAGAGACATGAGAGACTATTTCAAATCCTGCCTACTTCTGCTTATCTGACCAATTGTTGTGTGAAGTTCCTGTGCTTGTTGAATTGTCATTTTCGGGAAGTTAGAAAAGTTGAAGGAAATGAGAAGGGGGGAGGGAGGGGTTTTAGACCCTATTGAAAGCTCTGACAATCACTCTGAAGTACATCCCCCCTTTAAGACCACGGCGGATAGGGAAAGTAATATGTCCTTACAAGAATAGCGGTATAAATAAAGAACCAATTTGACAAAGGCATGGGATGAAGAAATGCTTTTAGAAATTGTTTTAGGCTTGAAAATGGCCAATTTTTCAGACACTGAATATCGACACAAAATATTTCCATCAGCTTTTATACAGCCATAAAAATAAAAGCTGAGTTGTCAGACATAAAACCCTGTGTGCTCTGCTAAAACCACAGCCTCTGCCTGCTGTTGTAAAATGGTGATAACACTCAGTAATCGGCCACTGGGAGCCGCAATCCAAAAATATCAGTACTGGTCCCTAATGCCTGACAAATGCTTGACATGAGTGTGTGCCTGTAAGTGGATTAAAAGAGTCTGAAAACATCTTTACCTCAACTTTCTGCCAATTATACAAGTATAAGGCCGAGTTTAATGTATGCACAGATACGTCACGAGCTAGCTTTCTAAAATAAAGCATCTCAAACTGAGAATTTAGCTTTCCTCAGAAAATACTACATGGTAGTTTTGACTCCAGCTGCACAGATACAACACTTTTTACACCAGTGAGCATATTTTTTCTCTGTCTCTCTTTCTCTTTAAGTTTAAAAGCCTTGGAGAAGACAGCGTGTAAGACAGTCACGGCATCTTTCTAGGACATTCCTGAGAAAGAAACACCAGTTTGTAATAGCATCACCAGGTTTATTCTACCGGCACTTTCCCTGTAAAGAAAACATCCAACACCTTTCTACACCAGCGAGCTAAAAGCATTGCTTTCAGGGCCAAACATACTGCTGTGAGAGTGGATATGTGTGAGGAAGGGTTCATATGCTGTTGAAACAGATATACAAAGCAAATATGTTTGTGAGACAAAAGGAGTTCATTCTTCAGAAGCCTGACACCATGGTCTTTTATAAATGTGTGGTGGAAGGAGAGCTGAGTGCAGATAGAGGTCCTTTCTAGAAAAAGACTAAATAATAAAATAAAGGGATTCACAGCATAAATAGAGTTCTGCTTAATACTGTAATTTGTGCACTATGTGCTTCTCCAAGCTTTGAACAGGTTTAGAGGCCAGCAGATTCATTAAATAAGGGACGGGAGAAAAAAGTTTCTATTAGAAAATGTGCTGAGATCCTGATTTGCCATTATCTGCGTCCACTGACACAAGCCTGTCTCCATAAATTTGAGGGGGAAAATATGTCAACGTAGCAGTCTAAACGAATAAGGGTTTGTTATGTATAGCCATCTTTATTCAGAATTCATAAGCAGAAGTCATTTTACAAGCCCGGATTACATTAAAGGAAAAGTGTGTGTGTGTGTGTGTGTGTGTGTGTGTGTGTGTGTGTGTGTGTGTGTGTGTGTGTGTTGGGGAGGAGCAGTACCTGGCCCTGGTGTCTGAATGTCACATTTTTAATATATTTCAGGAATGGATAAGTCTGTTTTTTTCTGAATCTCTTCACCTCCTCTTAGATATATCCTCCCCATTTGTCTCTCTCTCTCATAACTTTTTCAATATTTTTATTGAATTTTGCAAATTTTGCAGTGGGTTGGGTAAACGTGTGCGAAACAATGCATCAACTGTGGTATCACAAATTGAGAGGGTGAGGACAAGTTCAGCCCTCAAATCTAATTTGAGGAGAGGCTCAGTTGTCAACCTTTTAAATCAAATCCTAATATTCACAATGGTTGATCTCAGGCCCCACATAGGCTCATACCAGGTTTCAGACTCGCTGTTTTAATAAAATATTCTCCCACTGATACCAATATATGAGATAAAATTGTTGATTTAGTTTTGAATTTACCTTTCTTTCGTGGGGTTGCAGGTTACAGGGAAATAAATCAGTCAGAATGAAACCAACAGTCAGTTTCAGATTCTTCTCCTTCATTGTCAGCTAAGTGCTTACTGTTGCTTTCCATTCTGCCATGGCACATGCAGGTTATAATAAAGGCAATTGAAGATTTATCACTTAAAAGTCAGTATCCTAACCAGCTAATAGAAGACAAGAAGTAGCATTGGTTGTGTATAGCAGGTAGTTAGCCTGAGTATTATAGTAAAGTCGTATAAATAAAAATGTTAGTTGTTCTAACTCTGGGATGCTTTGAAAGCCTCCAATACAACACATGCTTAGACAAGGAACGCAGAGGTTAGATTTAATCTTTAATGTTTGTATTTTTCAAACTGTGTGCATACTTTTAGAAGAGAAAGGTATTTAAGGATGAGCACTGGAGATGAGGACGTATGAGTTGCTGGAGTGTAAACATCCCTAAACAAAAAGAAAGAGCAGGACTTGCTACTGTCACTCTTAAACATGATATAGCATCTTTGCTCTGCACGGTGGATGTTCTTGTATTTTTCTAACCTAACCTTTAACATATAATATTATATTATAATTAGTGACAGAGTAACACGCCCCTAATTGCCTCTGGAAATAAAAAAAAAAGCTGTTACAAAAACAGGTAGTACTCTAGTTAGCCTGGCATGCTAACATTTGCACCTTAGTGCAGATAAACACACTGTTTACTCGATTCCTTACACTTTTGCTCTTGTGTGTCTGTGTTACGTTCCATCAAGCTGACAGGTTGATTCACTGAGCAAGTGAGGGATGAAGAAATGTACCCTCCTCCTCCTCCTCCCCCTCTTCCTCTCCTCGCAGAGGGTAGTTGGAATCCAAAGGAAGTGAGACATGCCCTTGAAGAGTCAAAGCCGTATTTTTTTTTTTTATTGGCAGGCTTACAGAGTTGGACACTGCACTGTGATGTCAAGGAGGGTCAGGGCGAGCACTGGAGCTCTCTTAGCTAATGATATCTCCACCCACATCTGCACCATGCAGCTGGAGCGGGGACCCATAATGCTCAGATGTCAGATTTCCATGCTCTGTGACAAAGAGCACAAAGTGTCATTTATTGGAGATAGGACAAGAGGAATGAGAAAGGGAAGGGGGAAATATCTCTTCTTCCCTTCTTCTGTTTTTGCATGTGTGGAGGTGTGTCCTTCTCTAATTGTGCTTCCTTCACTTCTGGGCCTTGAAAATGTTTGAAAATAGTTAAATGGTCCCTTAAAGGATAACTTAAAATTTCTATCTTCTGTTATAGTATTGTACTTACTTACTGTTACTGCTGAGATCTGGGAACAATGACATTGTAAACAAAAGAGTGATGGGGCAGTCAGAAGAACACCTGCAAAAACCTTTAATTGGCTACAGGGGAGCACAACATTAACATATCATCAACTTTGTCAAGTTGTTGTGGTGAACTTGTTTGCAATTAGTTGCCTTTTTGCTCATCCAGGAGATACAGACCAACATTATCATTCATCTGGAGTCTACCTGGTGAAAGTAAGTCCAGCATTCACTCTTTTTTTAGCTCTGTCTTTGGTCTCCATCAACTCCTGAAGGAAATATCAGGCTCTTTAACACTAAATGCTCCACAAAGTTCACCACCAAGTAGCTAACTGTGTCTGTCTGCTTTTTGGTGCTGAGCAGGAAGTGTACGGTGGGTTTTTAGAGCTTT